TAGCCTGTGCACGTGTCTCGGCTCGCGCTTCGCGCGCGACGGCGTATTAATACCGAGTCGCCGCTGTAATAGTAATCGCTGCGTCAATGTTATTTATTTTCCGCGACTACCGTGGCTTTACGCTCGCTCGCGCGAGTGAAATTAACCGTGTTTGATTAAGAGCCGCGAGATTTCCGCAATTCGAAAACGCGCGCGCGCGCGCGCGCGGCCGTACTTTATCCCTGAGAGCATGATCAATCTATCATGTCAGGATGCCATCGAAATGCGATATTCCAGCGAGCTCCGGCGAGCCCATCGCGGCATTAAATCTTCACGGTGTTCGCCAAATTGAGAACGTAATGAAAAAGGAGAAGGGGAAAAATTATTCGCACCGCACCGGTCGCTCGATTTCACTGAATGCGCGTCCCGCGTGTCGAATTAACCGGTTACAGCGGAAACGCTGCGGGCGGATAGGAAACGAAATTCGAAAGCAGCCAAACGCCGAGCCCAGAAACAGAGAGAGGTGCATCTCACGCGGGCTCGCAAGCAAACGCGATTCCGTCAGCGACGAAGACTAAGAAACGGCGAACGCGTACGCGCGATGTAGATGGCAGGTTTAATAGAAATCACTCTCGAGCATCTACTTTATCTCTTTCTACGCACACAGAAAGATATCATACTGCTAAGAAAAGCGATTACTCAGTTCGCTTTCCCTCTTTTAAGTAATGGTGATCTTCAACAGAGAATATTGTCTTGACAACATAATATGCCTATTGTAAATTCGAGAAAAGCACATTACCATGTACCCAGAGAAGAATTTCTTCTCTTTATAAGAATATCAATAAAACTTCATTGAAGAAATAGTTGAGTCCATTCTGTGCAGTAAGCGAACCGGTTTATTGTTTTAATTTAATGTTCTTGATCGAAACGCTAAAGTCATTAGGATTCAGAATATATTTTGAATAAATTTCATGTCTGTCACGAACTTGTGACAGATTTGTGAATATGAAATGCTTGAGAGAAATAATGCTTCCTTGCAATAATGCAGTATATGTTTTTTTGTGTATACAGCACACCTGAAAATTCGTACTTACACAGGCGTGAAGTTCATCGGTTTCGGATCCCTGTCGATTTCAGGATCACCTTCCAAGATGCGAGCACTGCGTCGCGAGTAGACGCGACGACGACACGACTCGTGAATTTCTCCGATTAACGCATCGTCGAGTCGCGCGGACTAATTAACGGTGAAGCATTTCTGCTGTGCGTCCGACGAGGATGATCTAACAACTAGTTCATGGGACTGGTTCGTAAATACCCGCACGTAAGAGAGGAAGACAGACAGAGAGAGAGAGAGAGAGAGAGAGAGAGAGAGAGAGAGAGAGAGGGAGGGAGGGAGGGGGAGGAGAGGGTGGAGAAAAAGAGAGAGAGAAATATTTGGCGATTCGTGAACTACCAAGAATTCTATTCGATTTTCAGAACGTCAGGTAAGTTGCCCTGCTAAGAACGAAAAAACTCTCCGATAATGCTCCATTTTCTCGCCTGCGTCGTAACGAACGAATCGAGGACTTTTACGGTCGTATTGAATTCAACGATGTGTCCTTTATCTCGCGTTTCTTCCTCGAGGGATCCAGATATACTCTTTCGGAAAAGAAGGTCATTGGGTTCGATTGATACGATATCCGGATTGCAAAAATAGCATTAACTAGGGGTAGCCGGTCTTTCCGAGTACGCGTGAGAAAAAAGTATTTGAAAATTTATTTGTAGGATATAAAGTTTATTTGGCAGAAATAAGCCTTATTTTTGGCAGAAATAAACTTTATGCCCCATAAATAAATTCTCCAATATCTTTTCCTCAGCACGTTAGGTTTTTGAGGGTCTATTTGTCTCAAGAGGTATGTTGCTCATGTGTTTTTTTAGAATTTATCTTTATATAAAATCGCGAAATGATCCTTTTAAAACATAGATATTCTTTCTTTGAGTTTCATTAAAATCGGAATGATATTAAAATTAGAAAAAAAATAACTAGTTCAGTTGTAACAAAGTAAATTTATCAACCACTCGAAATTTTGTATTAATATTCTTCATCGTGAATAAAGTTAAGCGACGTGTTACTAGCTAGAATAAAATTTCTAAACGTTTCTAATAATTAAAGGCCAGCAGGAGGGCTGCGGAGACCTCTTGTGGAGACTTCGAATATTAGATATATATTTATATGTCACTTCTTACCCTGGGTTGCTAACCAACCAGGGTAAGATTGCAGCATATTCGTATTTCGATTATTACAGAACAAAATATATGATTAAATATATGAATTCTTATGGGTGTAAATATATAGAGAAGAAAATTGTCTCTTGTCATGTTAGTACAGTCAATCACAATAATTAGTTGTCTGAGAAGTTCTAAATTCGAAGTAACTTCGAAATTCTAAGAAATCTTGTCCCGGTCTCTCCCTTATATATGTTAAACACTTGGTTTCGTTCTGGAACAAGTCAAACCTGAATCTCTATAAATATTTGTTACGGTAAGAGAGAGTGAAAATATTTGCGGAATTTTATTTGTAAATCCTACGAGCGTCTGTGCCTGTTTGCGCAAAGTTTGCGCGCCGCACAATTAAACCGGCCCGCGAAATCCGGTAAACTAATTTACTCACGTATATACGTGATCCACTTTGCAAATAGTCTTCTCCGGCACCATCGTCCAGTTACTGCTTGCCATTACTAGAGCGTACGCGTTCATAAGTCCGAAGCCGAAACGCGAGTTGAACCAAAATCCAGCCGCATTCTTAAACCATCCTGGATTTCCCCTGGAAGTTTATGCAATTATTAAAGCTCACCTCGTGGAAAGAACTTACTGCGAATGTATTTAAAGTGGCAAGAGAGAGGGAGGCGGTGGGCGTCAAGACGTGAGAAATATTGCTTTTCCTCACTTTCTTTTCTCTCCAAATTCTTCCTCTTATTCCCGTCACGGTGAAAGCGGAATAATATCATATGTATTACAATATTTATATTATCGAACTATGAAGAGATAATAATGGCGCCGGATTTCCCAAGCATATTATCCCATCAACGATTAAAATTGGTTGCCCGTCGAATGGAAATTAATCGTTCTCAAGAATTAATTGTGAAGTATCCCATTCGGTATTAATGCGGACAAACTATAATTTACGCAATTAACATTCGTGAATGCAATACGCCCCGCGAAAGTGATAGCGCTCGTTTTTGTGATTCACGAGGGCAAAGTAGGAAGCAATTAGTGTCGGTCATGTATTACGAGCTATAACGGAGAGAAAATTGTACAGGATCATCCATGCATGGAAAAAAATCTCAGTTTGTATAATTAAATAGGAACCAGACGGAAAACTTGCTGTCGGGAAATAATATCTCTGTTACTATAACTGAAAAAAATTCGTCTGAATAGTCAAAGTTCGGTTGAGGTAACTGAGAACAATTGAGCTGAAATCTTCTGCAGGAATCTTTTTGTTTATACAAATTTTTCATTCGATTGAATCATTCTCTGATTAATCAAAACATTCAGTTACACTAATGGAGTTGTTTTTCCGTATGGTCTTTAAAATGGGATAACTTTCAATCTAGATTCTGGATCAACGTCAAATTAATCACTTTTAGATGCAATGCTGATTAATCTCCAATTTTTCAAAGATTTTTCATTAGTTCTGACAATACATTTTCAAAAAATAATTTCTCATCACTCGCACAGAACATCGCGAGTATTGCGAAAGATATACGTGTATATTGTATCGCGATATCGTGTAAGACATCGTGAGAAATCGCTGTAATTTGGCTGCAATGAGACAAATGCGATTTTATCGAAGGGATAGGTCATGCCGTGAAATCATCGGGTCCTCGGCATTCTTTCCCATCGACCCTCCTCCCCCGCCTTCGCTCCTCTGATCTGAACGCTTGTTGTAAATCACGGTTTGCCGATCAGATCGAGCGTTACTTTTCACGGAACGGAGGTCGAGGAGACTCGTTAGCGGCGGCTTCCATCTGAATTCCACTTTGAAAACGATGTAGTGACCTACATTCCCGCCGGAGCACGAATGAGAATGATGCGGCGTTTCAAACTAACGCGGATGCACGTGGCCTGAATTATTACTCGCGGGATGCACACCTGAGAGGACTGTACTCCGATGACCAGGCCACCAGATGTTGGATGTCCCTCCACGTTAAGTCGACGCTTTAAAAATAAAGAAAAGTCGTTAGTACGGTCTTCGATTAGAATATTGATAGTGCTATACGCTGCGGAAATAACGCCTTTATTTTAGGCCGCGAGTTAATCGGGGATAAATTGGCGCTCGATATATCATGACCCGCTGCAGACGCTGTATCGAATATTTTATATTTAACGATCACACGTCTTAAAACGCGATTGAGACAAGTGACGCGGAGAGAGAGATGTTCCTACGTATCTCTTTTCTTCACTTTACGTTATACTTTTTCAATTTTTTCGTACTTCCTCACGCTTTTGCGTATCCTATTAAATTTCTTTCATATTGCAGATCATAATGAGATCTTGTTTTGCTCTCTTACTTTCTCTGCAAAGTTAATCGAGGAAGTTGTAAACGTTAACTGACGTGGAAAGGGAGAGAGAAGAGAGAGAGAGAGAGAGAGAGAGAGAGAGAGTCCCGACGGGCAAATATCCTTTTTCATCGACGGGACATGACTGAAAATAAGGGCAGGTGGATTCCAGCAGTAATCGAGTTAGCGTTTCCGGGTTTCAAAGAAAAGTTTCAATGGGGAGATCGCCGGGAGTGCTCATACTTTACTTGCAGCGCGAGAGCCAGTATCCCGGCAGCTAATGGGGCAGAAGCTGAAGTACCCGTATGCCTGGTCGTACAAGTGTTTTTTAGATCCGTTGTTGCCTGGAAAGCGGAAATGGAAGCTATTAAATTATTTCGCGTTCTGTAAGCTGCACCTCGTTCCTCTTACACATGAGCTTTCTCTTCGCTCGATTTCAGAGCGGATGTAAAAAGACGGCGATGATCGCGAGTGTCGTGTCGAATTAAAGATCAGATTCGAATAATGTCGCTTCCATTGTTGGAACCTTTCGATCACGGCGCGACGGTAACGACGATATACAAGGTGTCTCACGCACACGTTACTCGCACGTCTGCTCGTAGGTAGAAATCATCAAACTGAATGAAAAAGTCTTGCACCATTTCGCGAACGTGAAGAGATATTTATTATAGAGAATTGCCAAATAATTGCATATCAGGATCGTCACACTGCATTGCGCGCAATCATTTGACAATTTTCAATAATTAATATCTCAAAAATATACATGGTTATTTGCAAAATATATTATTTTGCAAGCAACCATGACTTTTTGCTCCGAGTTGGTAAATTCTATCTGCGGACGCGCGAGTCACACATCTTCCCTTTTGTCTCCAGAGATGAATAAACACCCAAAAAAGAGCTGAGGATAACTTGCAAGGTGCTACTCACTGTAATCCCAAATTCTGAGCGAACACTTTTACCGAAAAAGTATTCTTTCTCTAACAAAATGGACTATTAATCGGGAATCTGTACGGAAGAAAAGTTTGGTTGGATTAACCGATTTTTTATGAAATATGGACGAACTAGAAAAATTGTGGTTAAAGTTACCACAATTTCTGGTTCGTTCATATTTCTATCACTATAAATTTACAATCAAACCTTTTTTTCCGTGCATTAAATATTATTAAAAATTTTTTTCTTTGGAATCAACAGGAACGTGTTTATTTGAAGCAGAACATTCTCTTATTAGAAGAAATTTTTCTTAAGAAGAAAACTGCGAAGAGAAAAAACGAAAAAAATTCCTGTATAACTTTAAGAATATTGTACTTAGAATATTTTCTCCTTGATTTTAGAAGAAAATCTTTTCTTTTGATAGCATGAAATATAAGCCCTCTAGGATCCAAAGGATTCGGCTAAGGATGGGATTATGTTTTTTGCGTGAATGATTCGGGATAGAGATAGAAAAATTGCTCCGTATACACAAATAGAATTAAATTTACACGTAGTTGATAAACAAGTTCAGTTAGTAAAGTGTCCGCGCGAATATTGCACTAATAAATTAAATTTTTATATCCATTAGGTGTTCTCTCAATTATATTAGTAAGTCTCACTAAGAAAATAGGACGCTTACTATCATCTGATCGTAGTAAGCGCCGCTACTGTATGTCGTAGCGAGGGTGGCAGGACACCTTTCCCCGTACCAAGGAAATCTCCCAGTTTGACTGGCCGATCCAACAGCCACGGTGTATATACTCCCAACGTAGCCGTCGCATGCACAGTCGTCCAATTTAGAACCGCCATTTCCAGAAGCCCACACGTAAATGTTACCTTTACCATTACGACCCTGTCAAATATTCAAGTATTACGTGAGATTACCATAAACGATGTCAAACGGAATGAGATAGAATAATTAATTCACAGCTGACTTTGAATTCTTTACGTTATACATCGAGAAATATTAACGAGACGTATAAACAATTCGTTTGGGACTAACTTTCGGGCTTTTGCGCGACTCGAAACTCTTTTTTTTTATTCACTCGAAAAAAATAAACCATGTCGCATTCGCGATCGAGAGAGATGGTGTAGAGCGACAGTTTGTACTTCTTTATTGGCCGGTATTGACGTCGGTTCTAAAATTTGTTTTAATGAATAAAGGAGCAAGAGGGAAAGAAATTAAAGAACAAGAGACAAAGGCGCGAAGAAATGCGAGTTAATCTCATTTGAGGGAAGATTCTCTCGAGGGAAGTTTAGATAGACGAAAAATAGGAGGTCCTTTTACGAATTTTCTCTAAAAAGATGAATAAAAATATCAATATGGAGTTTTTACTATACTGTTTATTATTGCTTTAATTTATTATTGTTTTAAGTATATAAAGTTTAAAAAAGAATTGTAATTCCGTTTATTTTTCTGTGTTGAACACGATGTTGCCGGACGCTTTTAATTGGACAACATCTCAATTTGTGTAATAATTCGAAGTAAATGAGACAAGAACATTCAAAAACTGTATTAAATTTGCTGGAGGATGAACCCAAATTTTTTGGAAAATTTCCAAAATTAAAATTTTTTCCGATACTAAATAAAAAAAAGAAAGAAATAAAAATGATTAGTAAATTAGAAATGTCATCTTGTTCAATTTCGATCCTTTGCATATAACAAAACTTTATTCTCTAGAAAACTTAAGTTTTGCAGTTTCTAGATTTTCTCGTCCCATTTGTTTCAGATTATTACACGAGCTGTAATATTGCCCGCCGATTAGAAGCGTCCGGCGACATCGCGCTTAGCACAAAAATTTGGACGACGAAATTTTAACTCTTTTTTAAATAAAAAATTATCTTTTTACATTTAAAACAATTATAAATTTAAACAATTATAAATAGTCAAAAGTCTATATATATCGATATCTTTATTCAATTACACCATTCTTTTAAAAAATTCCTAAAGACCTCCTTTACCGTTGTTTAAACTCAGAACGTCTCTTTAAAAGTTTCTACGACACATTTGGGTAGACTGTAGTCCCACGAGATAGTTGTCCTCATATAAAAGAATACCGGTGTTAGTATGCAAGTAAATCGAGCCTCTCCTTCCAGTCAACGTTGAACTCCCCTATATTTAATCACCGGGAGAAATGAGAAAAGAACATTTTATGAATATTTTGCGAGCATCTATTTGAAGCCAGGGTTCACGTTCACGTCGATGATACTAAAGCCTGCATTTTCGTAGAGAATGAGCTTGCTGGCGTAACAAAGTTCGCGATTAAAGTTAGGACTGGACTCCGGTTGTTAGCCCCGGCACGGTCGAGTTTCATATCGCAGTTATGAGATTAGATCACTCCCAACATTTCCCCCTTGGCACATCTTTTTAATCTTCCTTAATTTTGGCCAAGCTTCCAGACATGAATTCGGCCGTGGAATATTTAATAACATGAAAGCAAAGTTTGAATTCCGCGAACCGCAATTTACTATGCCGATAGAGCATCTTCTCGTTTATTGTTGCATATTTGTAATTTGAAAATAATCACGACAAGATGCGATGAAATATTGCACTAGCGGAGTTAATTCCACGATGAGGAGGGCGTGGCAAAATGGATGAGGACTTTTCAGTGCCTGGGACAATGATCGACAAGCAATGGATCTCTGTGGGAAATGGAGTTGAAGTTTAACTTGGTCGGTTAAAAGCTTTTTTAGACATTAAATGACCAGGAAATCCGCTCCGCTCCGATGTGAAGTCGACTCACTTGACGTAATCCTATTACGGGGATCCACGGATACAAAAGTCACGTCTCCTCTCTTTCTTTTCGTTGTATAAAAGCGAGGAGAGAGAGAGAGAGAGAGAGAGAGAGAGAGAGAGAGAGAGAGAGAGAG